CACTAACCGGCTGACTGCTTGAGCATTTTCATGGTTTTCCCCATGTGTAATATATACATAAGCCAGTTCTCTTCGAACATCCTCCACAAAGGCATCCCTCCCCTTAAGCAGCTAGCCCTCGAGTGCTTTGCCATAATAAAATAGAATCAAACCATACCGTTACAACCGATAAAATACAAGTAAATATTCTTATTACAGATTACAGCACAAGTTTAACTTATGTTATAAATTATAACATTCGCTTTACTTGCATATTTTTGATAAATTTGATACCGGGCAGAAGCTTCCTTCTTTTTCTATTTTTATTAGATATGAGGCTATCATCTGAATTTGAAATTTGAGTAATTATGCAATGAATTATTAAAGTCTGATGACTTCTAACTTATTTCAAAATATTCTAAAATAATTAATATTAATGTAATTAATGCTGATTTTCAGTTCAGCAAGCTATATCTTTATGAAAGAAATTATACCGCGAGAAATGATTGAATAGCCGAGTTAATTCATATGTAAATTGGCAAACCTTCGTGGGAGGTTAATATAAGGAAACATTTCCTTGAACGGTAAAATGATTTTATTACTTTCACCAAAGCGAAGAAAAAACATAAAAGCAATCCAATATCCTTTCCAATAAAAGTGATTTAAAAAGAAAACATCGGTTGCATGAAACTAGTAATTATTCGAATGCATATAAATCTACTGTTTCCATTTCTCGATTTAATTTAAAAGCAATTTAAAAACTCATCGATGTTTTAACTGCTTCCCTTTTCATGTCTTTGCTGCCGAACGTCGAAAAACTGCTGAAATACTGCATTTCGTTTTACCCCCTTTTTTTTCTCTTTTCCCCCCACAAAGAATGCATTCCATTTGTTTATTAAATTACTACTTGGCTTCTCTCTAACTGCCCGAGGCAGGTTATCATTTTAACCGTGATTTGGTTTCTTTTCTTACATTTAAAGGAACTTTCATATTGAAAAATTACAAACAGTTAGAGTACCAATGTGTTCGGTACTTTTAAAATGCAAAATGATCATTAACAAATTGATTACCATTCTAAACACAGAAACGTCTATTAATATATATGTATAAATGATATATATAATATCCGATATATTTTCATATTTAAGCGAAAGCACAATTTTCACAAGAAATTTGCGTGTTATTTACATGGTACCTTTTAATACTTTTTGCAGTAATTATTCTCATGTCCTGAACCTAATTTTTAATCTGGATTTTTAAACAACTTCTAATATTTTTGTTATTTCCTTATTTTAATATGCATGACATAATTAAGCATAATGAATTTTAATTTATTTCGAATTTAAATCTTCGAATCGTTTAACTTGTTTTATTATTTTTCATGGCTTCATTCGAATTTCATAAATTTCCTCGTATTTTAGCATTTTGCTTTCTTTTTGCTACATATCGTTTGCTTTGGGAATATTGTGCGCACATTAAAGCTTGATTTAATCAGACAAAGCGTTCGCAGCCCGTCTTGCATTTTGTGTTATTAGCTTCGTTCTTCTTTCTTCTTTTTCATTTTTTTATTCTTATTACTTATACATATTTTTATTTTTACTATCTTACTTGCTGTCTTAGAAATAATCCTTTTAAATCAAATTAAAATTCTAATTAACTAATAATATTTTCTTCTGTATGTATCATACGTACAATCATACACACAAAAAAAAAAATTATGCATTTTAAATTTTCGGTTATATTTTATAATTTTATGTATAATAAAATGAAAAAATATATACATATATATAATACAAAAATATAATGAAATGTGTTTTATATATATACAAATGTAGAGAAGGAGAGAAATAAGGGATCACAAATGCAAGTCACTAGTTAATGAAGTCATGAAATGAAAAAAAGGTCACTAGTTAATCAGAATTTTATTTTGATTTAAGAGGATTATTTCTAAGACAGCAAGCAAAATTGCTGTTTCTTCAAATGTTGCGATTACTCTAAAGTCTGTAATGGAAGTGATTAAGATGCATTGCACTGTAATCCCTTTAAACGAACCATAACACTTTAGAAAAATCCTTTTTAGCTGAACTCTTAGTTTTTCGACTTAAAATAAGCGGTGATCTAGAAAAGAATTTATTGGAGAAACTTATTTCTTAAGACGTAAATCCGGAACTTCCGTTTCAGAATCATTTGTGACTTTTACAGATAGAAAACTGTATGGCTAAAAGTTTTATCTTTCGTAAAATGGTGTTTGACCATTTCACTGATGATAAATGTATGTTTAAACCCACGCAATGTGATTTTTTACTAACTCAGAATTAGATGAATGAAATAATTGATAATTTCGGTTATTTCTTGTAGTAAATTGAATCAATTAAATCACTTTTTTATGGTATTAGTTTCAAAACTAAGAATTTAAATACAATGCTTAGTAAATTATTTATTTAAATCAAATAAACTATCAATACAAAAAATTGTTTGTTTTAACTTTCTCTTTTCATTTTGGAAATTATTAGATAGTATAATAAATCAGATATTGAGAAAAATGAAATTATGATAGCAAAAGGGATCATATAAAGCATTTTTCTGATACCTTAAATTCAAAACTTTGAAATCAATACTATAATTTGTGGGCTTACTCATTTGTATTACGCGACCATATTCCTATATATATGACCTTCAAAATTCGGCCATTATTTTGATGACTTTTGCCATTTCATTTCCGTTTACTTAGCTTACACGTTAAATCGTTTACTTAGCTCTTGTGTTAAACGTAATTTAAAGGAGTATTTCTGTATCTTAATGAAACTTTTAATCTACCGACAAAGAGAAAAAAAAAGGAAATTCCACATTTGGCAGACAATATTTAAGCAATTTAGTAATATTTAATATGTATATGTGTATTCAGCAAAATGGCAATTCAGTAGACGATTTGTTATTGGAAATGAATATTTGCTTTCAACCTTAATCATTTATCGTTGCTTAGATAATGTATTAAGCAGCTGTTAAACATATTCTTAAGATTACGAACACAAATAATTATAAAACTGAAAATATTATAAAATTATATTCTTAAAATCCATGCCATTAAATTTCTCTTGATAAGCGAGTCTTAAATAGGAGAGGGTTTTAAAAAAGTCCACTGAATTTCACAGGACAGCTTGCGGCCCAGAGTTGTCATTAATTTCACATTTTACCATCTAATAAGTGTAACTTTCCAACCAAAGATTTTTAGGAATTTTTATAAGTATTATATCAGGAATTTTGGATAAAAAATAGTTTTAGCAAACAATGCGCAAAAATTGCACATTTAAATGACATGCAAGTTTTATGTATTTTGATTAAAAGTTCTTTCAAATAATGTTCAAATTTTAGTTTTGTGTAAATAAAAAATTTTGAGAATAAATTTATCTTAAACCAAGCTTAAATCGTAACTTAAAGTAGGAAAGAAAAATGAAGAAAATTAATTAATATATAGCTATAATTTAATGAGTACTAAAGACTGTACCAAATACCCAAATACTGTTAAACTTCTAAAAATAAATGAAGGAACCGAGAAGCTTTTGTATTGGTTTTAATATGGTAACTGTTGTGACGACATCTGTCGATGCATTTTTGAAATACAAAGATTTCATTACCTAGCAAAGAACCATGAAGCCTTTGGTCAAAGGTCGAAGATGTATAGCGACTGGAGCAAAATCATGGTCTTGTTATAGGTTCAATGTTTCTTGAAAATGAACAAAACCGCTACATTCTCCTCCCCTAGTATGCAACATGACATTTCTTATAGATAATGACATTGGAATAATCAAGTTCATTATAGTTGACTAGGCACTTAAATGGAATTCCATTGGGATGAGAAAAGTTTCATCGGGTCAAAGAGGACTTAACAGTTAACTCATTAACCGATGTGTTAAAAGCATGTTTCTGAATTTCTTTGTTTCATAAGACATTGTTTGATAATTCCGTGACGTTTTGCATAATTGCCATTTGAAGACGACTATGAATGCAACGGAATGTTGCAGCTAGTGAATCACGTACAGTAACCACTGCATGGACTACATGAATGCTGGTTTTAATTTCGGCTACTTTGGTATCACCATATATCTGTGTTGATCTGAAAGAATGAGGTTTCATTGTCTAATATCGAAGTGCGGATCTTTCTACTGTAAACGTGTATCAGGTAATTAAATCAAATGTTTCCTTAATCCACTACCAAGTATAAAACGTATTTTATAATATTTTATTTATTTTTAGCGTTTTGGTAATCAAGATTAACTTGACAAAACCATTAATATATTTATTTTGATTTAGGGTTTGATAAATACTAGTATTTAGTTGTAATTTTAAACGTAAAACGGCTTGTGAAAAACAGCGGTAAACAAATCATAAAATTGACTTTTTTCTCGGAAGCCGTATATTGCCATATTGAAACAGAAGTCGTACATATTCTAAATATTCGTGTGAGTCACGAAAATGAACGTTAACGAAGACAAATGAACGACACACAAATGCGAACACACAGGAATGATACACAAATGACATTTTTGTTATCCGTGTATCTGCGATGGAATAAGTCGCATTTGTTTAGTTTTATACTTCATGTTAGAAACGTCTACTGTGGATTCACCTCGGCGTTAGAATATTTTATTACAGGTTATCTCATATCTCAGAATGTGATTCACAGACATTTAGAAAGTGTTGAAGCTAGTAAATATCTTTATAATTAAATGTAATATGACTAATTAAACAAGACGTCACTAGCTATCTCATTACCAAAAAAGAAGACAGCAACGTGAAATAAAAATGGAACTGGAGGAAAGATATATGTTACGCTAATCCAAATTATCTCATAAAGACGTCTATGCAATTTCTTGATTTTTTATATGTAAATTGTGAACAAATTTGTTCTTTAAATGCTATCGGTAAAGATTTCTTTTTCTGTGATGGAATATTACAGACTTAGAGCACATTTTTCTCACTGTACCCATTTCTATTGAATGAATGTGTTTTTGTAATTGCAGGAAGAGATTGCCCACCTTTTGAGCGAGCTAGAAGAATTTCAAGGGAAACCAGCAAATGTCAGGCGATTTTTAGCACCTAGCACCTCAAATAATATATCCGCTCTGATTTTCGGTCGACGGATTGATTATCATGATCCTATGAGAATTCTTCTGGATCAGGTTATTACAGAACTGATTCGCTTCTTCAGGCCCACCAGCATTCATGCTTGGTTTCCATGGGTGAAATCTTTGCTGTTCTATTTCAAGCTTTGGGACTACGACAAGTTGGAATTTGCAATTGAAAAACTGATGGCTTTTGTAGAGTAAGTTCTACTGCTTTAATTTCAATAAAATATTTTTAACATAAATATTTCATATTTAGACTTTATTTATACTGATTTGAATTCAGCCTTAAGGCTTGATATAAGTAGAAGGAATTAAAATGGAATTAGAAACTAGAATAAGAGCAATCTAGGTTAAATGTAATGTGAAACATGCTTTCTTAAATTTCTTATTAGAACTGAAATTGCATTTAAAACTCTAATATACATTATTTTCTTGAAAATAATGTAAGCAATATTTCTTGTTTTGAAGCATATAAGATGTTTATAATTCACTCGTTTAGACAGATTAAGGTACTACGTACCTTAATATCTACATGGTATGAAATATGAAATTAAAATAAATTTTAAGGTTTACGCTTTGTTTCCAAATAACTAAAAACTAAACGGATTATACGGTAAAGAGCAAACGCATAAGTCACTGTTCATTGTTGATGTCCATTCCAAAAAAGAATGATTTTACACCGAATGAAAAAAACCAGGTGTAAATATTTTCTCTAGGTAAAGTTTTCTAAATCTGTTAGGCACTGGAATTCGGAAGACACTTCGATTAGTAAAAAGGATATTTGACCTTGTCAGACGAGAATTATACAGGAAAATGTCTGAATGGGACTAAATGTCGCGTGATATGAACTCCGAATGGGATAAAGTTACTTGAAATGATGAGAAGAACTGAAATTAAATGGCGTTTAGGGTAAGAATTATTTTCGTAACTTCACAAAAGCAAACTTTGTTTCGATGTTTCGACAGACAACAGCGAGACGTTTTGTCCGATGAAGAATAATTTTGTGTTTTTCAAAATTTAGTAGGTTGTAATTTTAGCTTCCTTTATTCCTGAAGGAGAGGAAATTTACCTGGTACTTGAAACTGAGATACTCATTCGGTAAAATTCTCAAATCGTGGTACTTTGTTGTTTCCTGTATAATCTACCCAATTTTAAATCATCAGAAACAGCATAGTGATCATATGATAGTTTGGCAGTTTATTTAGACCCTAGACAATTTATTCCTATGTAATTTCTCAAAATTTCTTTGTTTCTGCATCTCTAATATTTTGTGCGTCCTATATTGACTAATATTTCGATTTAAGTTTAGAAAAAGAAACTTAAGTTTTTGTCTCCCAGTCAAATGAATGGAAATGAATGTACCTGATGAATATCATTGAAATTACAAATTACCAATATTTTATTAAACTGTTCTATTATTCTTCGGAAAATTGTCTGAAACAATTGAAGAAGAATTAATAACTTGTTTAATATAAAATTCTATAGGGATCATTGTGGATCCTTTGCTGACTTAATTTTAATTTCACACATAATTCATTAGAACTTTCGATCCTTGTAAAACGAAATTTTAAACTTGCTCTATCAATTTAGAACTTATTGAATACTCATAAGTGAAACAAAAAATATTGCAATTCGCAATGTACATTTATTTAAAACCATTCCCATTATATATATATATGTGTGTGTGTGTGTGAGAAATAACAAAATATGATAGCTGCTTTAAAAATAATTGGCGACCTAGATTTGGTGCTCTCCCCCTATATTCATCTGTTCTCTCAAATTCGAGATTTTTCTACGTTATGTAACGCTAGTGGAAAAGGGGAACTAAAACTAATATTAACCAATCACAGATTAGCTCTACTTATATCTCAGTGGCATAAATACTCTTGGCACAATTATTACGTCATTTCTCTGCCTAGCTCTACATTGCTATTATCTCCTTGCTTCGCATCTGTAAAATGCCTGCGTCATTCTTTTTAAAAAACCAATGTGTTTAAGAAATTATCGTAATTGTATGATTAAAGAGTATGTTGTCTACGAGGAATTATTCTAACATTCTTGGAAATAAAGATGAAAATTCTCTGAGCTTAGTTTAGTATCAACTCCTTCCTCTCGCTGTACCATTCAGAAGTCGTGACTATGCTTCGAAATTATGACATATATATATATATAGTAAGTCTTATAGCAGTAATATCACTTATGTCATTTTTTAATCTATTATCATTATACTTGGAAAATAACTCGTCATTTCCGCCATTTAAACCAGATCTATTAATTTAAACATTTAATCCTTAGCCTTAGCCATGATATATAATACATTTTCTTAAGCAGAAGTTGCAGTATATCCCATTTCTATCCTCAATTCCATATGTCTGATACGCATAGGGTTCAGTTTCAAAAATTAAACGTACAGGAGCCTCATGAAGGACCGGTGAAAATGGCAAAGAGAAATAAATTTACTAGCGATAGATAAGTCCATAATTCCTAAATACTTCAAAATTGGATATCAAGTAAAATGTAAAAAAAAACAAATAAAAATATTCATAAATTGATATAAGTAAATGGGATTAGAGAGCTAAAACTTAAATTACACTAATGTGTCCTATAAGAGAAGTGGGATAAAAATGAAAGCAAGAGTGACTGTATTAATGATAACATGGTTCATTAAAAACAAAAGAAAGATTTTGATCAGTATGCTTCATCTTCAGGTGAAATTGCATTCTCATTCTGGTTTCCATTTCGTTTAAAGCTTTCTTGATCGGATAAATGAAGTATATAAATATTCTTATTCATTTTTAAATGCATGTTAACTTTCCAGAGAGTCTCCTGCACGTGGGAGAGGGAGGTTCAATGATTATCTAGAATCAGTGCCAGTTTTACTGATTGCTAAACAAAAAGAACTTTTGCATTAGTAACAGAATTTTCTGTTTATATTGCGACTTTAATTCAAAGAATACCTAATCTAATTTCTTATGGGTTTCTAGTATGCTCCTGTTGGAAGTATGATTTCTCCCAAAAATAGTGAAGTATCGTAAACAGGCTATAGCAGGGTCAGAAAAATTTAATTTCTGGACATGTATGATATTTTAAGTAATGAAATGTTAAAAGAAATTCTGAGTTTGAAAATGTATTTCTCTTATCAGTTTTTAATGCGGAATAAGTTTTTTAATTTTGGTCTTGTGCAATTCTTAAAAAATAAGTAAAAGGTGTATCAATATCCATTCCACTATTCCTTCATAAACTTTATTTTCTTTTAACGTTATTTATGCACATATTTTCAAAATGTATCTGAATGTTTTTTATAAGCTACTAGGCCTCATACAAGAATTCTCAAACTTTATTTACCCTTTAATACATATATGTTCTGCTTCCTGTCTTCCTGCTTCCTAGCAATTGATTTGCTTCGTAATCGATCAAAATGCATGTAGAAAAGCAGAAATCGGACAAATAACAAGCATGCAATATTCAGAAAGTCGACCTCAAAAAAATATCCATCAGCTCTCTGTTTCATACCACTACCATACATAAATATATCCTCTTCACCATCCGTTTGGTACTTATTTGTAGTCCCATTTTTCATACATTATCCAAGATTGATATTTTACCCAAGATATACGTTATTTTTAATCTATGTTCTGTGCAATTCATCTATTTTCCTTTATTGAGAAATGGATCACTTACCTAGGGCAAAGCGTATGAGGTCTATCTAGCTAATATTATCCCAATTTTGAAACTTTGCAAAAGAGTTGCTTCTTATAAGACACATTTGTCTGTTTCTTGAAATTGACAGGCTTTGAAATTAAAATGCTTTTGGGTGGAAATGAAGAGTGTTAAATTTTAACTGTAATTCAAACCATTTTACTACTCACAATTGAATTATCAGGTCATAATTTCTTATGTTTTATTGTTCTTGATGCTTCATCAGCCGTACACAGCACATCTTTGCTGTTATTGATATAGACACATGGAAATTATCTAAATACAATCAACGAAAAATTACATACAGAAACATTAATTTCTAATCCTTCCCCTATTACAATAGTAAGGTTGTAAACAATAAATTATGTTCAACATTAATGATTTGAACGTTAGATGCTATCATACATAATGAATGCTACCCAATAAATTCATTTAATGGCCATCGTGCCATCGGTGCCATCTAGAATACTTCTTACTTTACTTCTTAGATCACTTTGTACCTCTTAAGTATAGATTTACCTCTTTTGTATTTGCTTCATGAAATTCAACGGTTTTTGATATGTGACTGGTACATCACAATGGAGTTGTACTCTTTAAAGAACTATGTGGATAAAGAAAAGGATTTATTCTTAAAACTTAGGAATCTAAACATTATTTTGATTTCATATAGGCTTTATTTACAAGTTCTGCATATTTTCTTAACTTTGAGTTTTTGGTTTTTGTTTTTGAAGAAGAAATAGCAAAAATATGAAACGTTTTACTGAAACGTTCTATGGACTTTGAAAATAAGCTTATGGAATTATTTTTTCAGTTTTACAGTAAAGAGTTGAGCTTTAATTATTTTTATTATTACCTTTTATTACAGCAATTTAGATAAATTAATATTTCCTGATTTTTTTTTTTTTTTTTTTTTTTTTTGTCCTTGGCTAAGTAGTTTAGATAAAATATTCTATATTCGGCCACATGACTGAATGTAAGGTCATCAATATTCTAATTTTTATCATTAAAGATTTGTTTCTGTTTCATTTCTTACTGACGCAAATATGTTAAAAACACTCCGGTTATTTGTAAATCAGAGAATTTTCTTTTGGGTCTAGTGATATTACGTTTGAAATAGATGCAAAGTGGCATAGAGGTTTTCGATATTCTTTTGTTAAATTTCCGCCTGTAATATAACAACTTTTGAATTTTCTCCGGAAACGAAAATATAACCTTTGATTACCTACTCCTTAAGGAAAGGGGAACAGAACCCCTCAGCCTGAGAACATTTGCTATTGATAAAGGAATTTTATTGTAATTAACCCTAAACCTTCACCTGACTTCAGGATCTTCTTTAATTTCAATAAGCCTCTCAGCAGACTGCGTCTTTATTTTGATTGGAGACACATAAAACACACACACACACACAAAAAAAAAAAAAAAAAAAAAAAAAAAAAAAAAAAAAACCTGCTAGCTTGTCTAAGACTAATGTAAAATTATTTGATAAGTTCTTTTTTAA